GTGCCACCACACACACAGTGCCCCCACACACACACCCAGCAGTATATGTGTGTGTATATATATATATATGTGTATATATATATATATATATATATATATATATATGCACGCGCAGCGTGTGTGTTAGTGCTTTAGGGTGCACACCCTTATACAATAGGCTGCGCACGCCTATGACCTGTAGTGATTTTGTACACTTGGATTTCCCAAATCACAGGCATTTATTGAAAAGTGCATTCATCAGGCTTATAGATTTGCGTAAGTGTTACTTGAATATACAATAAATATGTTTTTATTAAACTTTTGTCAAAAATTGTCAGTCTCTAATAGTTGTTTTGAAGTGTACAAACTGACAGTAATTGCCAATGATTAGATATTTTTCATTATGTGATTTCAACGAGCAAGGAAATGAGATCCCAGTGTTCCATACAGAAATTCTATAATATAGAACCCTGGGAAAAATGGCCTAAATTATTATTTCTTTAAATTATTGAAACTAATTAAAATCATTGTCTCTGTGTTTTCTAATTTGTGTAAGTGGCTTGTTTGCAGACCCCTTTATCTATCATTAAACACAGATTGATAGCATCTTCGTCGATTTCACTTATCATAAATGCAATTTAACCATAAGCCTTTGCACATTCAGACCCCATCATTCTGTGCTCCCAGAATAAGGGCAGTTAATACAAAGCTGAGATATCTCGAAGCAAAGGATATATCAGAATCCCAGTGACCTCCACGCTCAGCGCTGATGTTTTCTATTACAGGAGATATTTACAGCCAGGGTATAATACACAGTCTCTGACAGCCACTCTCCCTGCAATGCCAGCTCTCTTAAATCATCTTTTACTGCTATCGCCCAGGTAAAGACTCCTCTCCCCATCTCTACAGGCCAACAGCAGCTGATGGATGGAGGTCAGAGGAGACATTGTAGGACCACCTTAAAAACAGGGGAGCGAAGAAGGATTTAACTCTCTGAGTGCCAGTGTGGGTATGTTTCTTCAAACCTGCTCCATCAATCACAGGGTAACAAGCAAATCAACACTAATTTATTTGTTAAAGTACAATATTTTATATCCTATTAGAATGTAGGCTTTACGAGTTACCTCTTTACATGCCTGCATACCTGGTGTACATATTACAAGGCCTGAATTACTGTGTCTGGTGCTGAATACTATAAATAAAAACAGACATGCGTGTATTGATTTGAGCTGCTTTAGTAATAGTTTCACCATCCAAAGTGCAGAAACAAGAATTTCCACCTCAGTAGAACCCATATACATTTTAAGGTCATCAGTCATGTAATTAGCAGAGTTAAATAGAGCAAGTTTTATTTCACAAATGATGCAAATGTTGTCAGTGCTACCCTATGCCCTATTGAGCACATGTGCACATCTGCCAGTTTTTTACCTTCTATAATATCTCCATTTCCCCACCTATTTAACCATTTTTGTCCTCTTCCCTCCATCCTTAATATTATTTTACTTATTTTATAAAGCGCCATCACATTCCGCAGTGATTGTACATGGGTCCTATT